TGTTTCATACTTAAATGCACGTCAAACATGCCGACAACTACAAAAACAATAACAACAACAAAGGCTGAACAAGTGAGAACTGTGTTGACGTACACATGTATATGAGCTTTGATATGCCTATGAACGGACATATGGTTCGTTTTTGTTACACACATAATATTTTGTTGTTGCCCATACAATTGTTCAACACTTTTTGACTACTGAGGCCAGGCACTTTGCACAAACAAACAAAAAATTTTAAAAAGGAAAATAAAAAGAAATTGAAATTCACCACTGCGCTTTTCTCCGTCGATTTCTATTAGTTAATGTTGCATATGGCACGCATGCGCGTAGGCGTCACGCCAACAAGCATGCACAAAGAGAAATGTATATTGTTATTGTATGGTAAAAAGAGCAGATGGCATGTCGCAACATGAGAGCGGCGCTAATAAATAGCAAACACACCCAGTGGGGGCCATCATTTACGCTCAAGCGCGTCAAAGTGCAGTCACACACACACACACACGCGCGCGCACTAATAAATGCAATAAAATAATTGCTTGCCACACTCTCTTCGCCTAAGCGATTTTTGCCACAAAAGTTTTCACATGCTCGCACTCACACAGACGCGCGCACGCAAGCAAACCACCACAATTGCAGCGCGCCTCGCCCAGCGCTACCTCCCACTACCAACGCCGCCATGAACACACGCTCTCTATCCACAAGCGCTCAAACAATGCGAGCGCGCTTGCTTGTTCACCTTGAAATGGCAGCCAAATAGTTTCAAGACAACGCATACAAACGCAATGCACACCGCTCGCGCCGCTCTTGCGCCAGGCATCTCCTGCATTCGCGCTATCACAGCCGCTCACATGAAACAGAATTAAATGAAATTAAAGATAACGATGCGTGTATGTGTGTGTGTGTGGGTGTTTGTGTGCGCGCGCGTTTGTTTGCTCTGCTTGGAGAGCAGCTTTTATTTCGCGTTGTGTAGACATTGCACCTTGTGAAGGATTGCAAAGGTGTCTGCGTTGTTTGTACGTGTTGCTGTTGCTATTCGCTGTGGCAGCGCCGCTCTGCTTTGGACTGGGATCATAGTTGAATTGTCTCTATTTATAGTTGCAAATGTTCTTGCTATTGGCAGAGCAATGGTTGGCTATTTATAATTTAAAATTTTATTGCTGTTTGTTTTTTATTTTTGTAAAATTAATATTGAGCAAGTGTTTATTGGCATATACTTTATAAAGGAATGGATTGGAAGAATAATTGAAGCGGAGGTGTTATGACGTCGACAGCTTTTCTAACGTTACAAAAATAATAAACATTTTCGCTCTTAAGATTTCTTAATATATATTAATAGCAGTTAATTTTAAGCATTTAAGAGTTATGTATATCCACTTGTGAATTTCAAAAAAAACAAAAAAGTTTAAATGCTTATATTAAAGTGCACATTTTTTTTTAGCAAAAAACGATTTTTTTTTAGAGGTAGCACTCACTTTGTCAAAAATCAAAATTTTGACTAGTCCTTCTAACATTATCTGTATTCAACTATTGTTAAAAGTCAATTTTTTTTTGGTTTTCTGGTTTTTCGATTTGAGTTAATTTTATGCAAAAAGAAATCGTCCTCACCGCAAAACAGCTGTTTTCGGTAATCGTTCTTGAGATCGGCTACGAATTCAAGAGTTTAGAAAATTAAACAAAGTTTATTGAAGTTTAATAAATTATGTAAATGAACATTACTTTTATTTGAAATATCTCAACAAAAAAGGAATTAACAAACAACGCGATTTCTGTGACTCGCAAGTGGATATAACCACTTTTTGTAAAGACTTTGTATTTTAGAAACATTTTTAGCCTACTTTTAGGCTGTCAAATATTTCCATAATATTTTTCAGAAATTCAAATATAAAGGTGTAAGTATAACAATAATACAAAAACAAAGAAAAATGTTAACTTCGGTTGCAGCGATACTATAAAACCCTTCACAAATACAAAAAAAATCCATACAAAAAATTAATTTTGAGCGATCAGTTTGTATGGCAGCTATATGCTAAAGTGATCCGCTATCGGTGGTTCCGACAAATGTGCAGCTTCTTGGGGCGAAAAGGACGTGATTTTGTTAACTTTACGATATGGACAATTGTTCATTTGAACTCTTCGTAATTTTGATGCAAAACTGGTGACAAATGATTTAAGAAATAATAAGCTAACAACCACGAAATGAAATATAATACTCGGCTTATGTATCTAAGCTAGCAGAGGTAGGGGTTGGACCAAGAGTATAATATTTTTGGGCCAAGTTAACTGGAGACATTTACTAAACAGTTTTGTAGTCTTTAGAACAGAACCTTCCATGCTTCGTATTCTTAATAAAAATTTTATTTTTTGGTGGGCGTGTTTTGTAAATAATCGCTGGATTTTAGATAATGTTTCTTCATTGAATACTATGTACTCAAACATCCACAAAAGGTCACTGTTTGGTGAAAATTTTGTGCTGATAGTTACATTGTTCCATAAGCTTTCAGAATCATTTTGAAAAGCATTTTCTGCAAACTCTTTTTTGTCCTTTGGTATCTTGGAACCAAGAACACGTAATAGTAGGCCCTCTAGAAGAGTCGAAATCCTACTCACCGAGCCTTTATCGGCTATTTTTTTTTAATGATTTCTGAACTGTAGATGTTGCTTAAAAATCTCTGGGGAGGTTTGCTAACATATTATATTAATGATGTCAGTTGGAGCGCAGCTAAACACATGTAGGGTTCGCAATTTTATCTCCCTTTCTGTTATCTCAAATTTTGACATTATTCATTATATTTCGAAGCTTCAAATCAAGTGGCAACCCTATAAACTGTTAATTTTTTTATTCAACTTTTCAAAGTAGCCCTTAATTCATGTCCATATGGCATTTTTTTTAATTTGAAGATTTAGCTCGGTTAAAATTTTAATAAGGGTGGCAACTCTGTTTAAATGTATTTTTAAAATCTAACAAAACTTTTAAGTAAGCATTTCTAATTGTGCTTCGCAGTTCAAAAAGTGGATGGCAAATTTCATAGGTGTGGCAACTCTGTTCAAATTTATACCTAAAAATCGCAAAACTTGTATGCTAGAAATTTTTATATTTCAGCTGCAGCTCATTTACTACCTTATTTTATTTTGCTCGTTTGGTAATTAAAAAGGGTGGCAACTCTTTTTGAATGTTAGCTTAAACTCAAGCTTAGCAAAATGTTTAGGCTTTTTTAAATCTATTTTTCCAATTTTTAAACTTAATACTTGAATCTATAAAATTTATTATTTTTATGCGGATGGCAACTCCAAAAAATAGATTATGTTTTATGATTAATATTACTTTATTACCAATCCTTAGGAGTTTATACTTTATAATTTATCTTATTTCAAATATGCCTTTCTTTTATATTTTTAGCCTTTTAAAACTGAAAATATTAAACGGGTTTGCTTAAAGCTTCATTTAACAAAAATACGTGCCACAATCGATTATTTCATACTCGATACTGATATTTTTATACAAATTGAATACCCAGGTTTTTATAATCAGTTTTGTTATGTATGTATACAATACAATAAAGCATTATTACGTATTAATTATTTTTCATATTGCACATATTAACATTTTTCCAACCAAATTCTGCTAAATCTGCACCCACCCATCACTAAAACAGCAACAAAACTCGAAATAATTAAAAAATTCTCAATCCAAGTGTGAATGCAAGTAACCTAACACCAGCTGTTTCAACCGAATTCAACAAAGCCGATAATAAATCATAATGCAAGCAGCGGAACCGGTATTTTTCAACGCCAACGCCACATAACGCCTGCAGCTATGCTACAAATATGCGAAAAGCGTTTGTGAGAGCAGAGCAGCTAACGCAAATGTAGTTGTAAGCAAAAAAAAAAAGTCAAATTGAGCTGAGGAGGATAAAAATAAATGATTTTTTATTAATTAATATTTTTTTAAATTAAAAATAATTTTTAAAATTATAATAAATATTTAAAATTAATAAAATAATTTTTAAAATTGAAAATGATTTATGGAAATTTCAAAAATAGCTGTAACGACAGCTATTCAAGCATTTATAAAATGTGGTAGAAGCAAAAAAAAAAGTCAAATTAAGTTGAAGAAGATAAAAATAAATGATTTTTTATTAATTAACATTTTTTTTAATTAAAAAAATTTTTAAAATTATAATAAATATTTAAAATTAATAAAATAGTTTTTAAATTTGAAAATGATTTATGGAAATTTCAAAAATAGCTGTAACGACAGCTATTCAAGCTTTTAGAAAATGTGGTAGAGGCAAAAAAACAATAATTTTTTATGAATCAATAATTTGTTTAATTTAACAGTAAAGGGGAAGAGTGCGAAATGCAACACTGTCACTGCTGAGGCGCTACACACACGATACACACACAAACACTCACGCACATAGCGTAACAGCGGGCGCCGTAAACACCGCTCAATGCATGTGACTTTGCGTTCACGCGTCTGTATTGGTGAACGTGTTCTCTTCTGCTGTCTGTCTGTTTGGCCGCCCATGCACAACAGTTTACAACAACAGTTGGCGCTCACGTTTTGCATTTGTTTGTGTCTGCTGTCTGTTTGCTGCCTGCTGCTTGCTACTTGCTACTACATTGTGGCAAGCTCACTCTTGTGCTATTGTTGTTATTGATGTTGCCACAGTTAGCGGCAGCGCCACCATATCGTGTTGAGTTTTATACTCGCATACATTTCGGCTTTTGTCTATGAAAGAGGCTGACTAGCTTGGGCCGAAAGGTTGCCTTGCCTCTTTGGCTCGGCCGCTTTGCTTTGCTTTAGTTTGGTTTGGTTTGGTTTGGTTTGGCTTGGTTGAAAATCGATATATACAATATGCCTGTGTATGTGTGTTAGTATATGTATTTATTTGTAACAGGAGTGCTACTAACTATATTTGTAGCTAGTTAGTTGGCTAGTCAGTTTGGGTTAGTAGTTGAGTATTTAGACGGTTTTTGAGATTTATTGTACCTACTATTTATATATATATATATATTTGCAGAGTAGCTGCTGCAAACGACGGCCACAGCAGTTAAGCGAGTGTTCTTTTGCACACAGTTATCTTATTTTATTATTTTTTTATTTAATACTGTTAAGTAAAATTTTGTTGCACAAGCTATGTATTTTTGCTTTTGAGTGATTGAAAAAAAAAAAATTATTTCACCGCACTCGTGCACTTTATGCGTAATATTTTTATACTTTTGTTATTTTTCACTAACCGACATGATGGCTGACCATGTGTAGTGTCAGTCGCACTTACCGCACGCACATAGGTATGCAAGCTCAACACGCTTGTGTGTTTGTTGTTGTATATGTGTATGTATGTTTCATATTTTTCTACATTTGCGGCGGCTGGTTATACAATGACTTTTAACTTTTACCCATTGGTGACCGTCAGCGCAACCGTTTTCACATCCGCCGCAAATTGTCGCATAATTTTAAATGCATTTTGTTGTTTTCCGTTTTTTTTTTGCTTAAACCACTCGCACTTAATTTCGTTTACGTTACGTTTGCTTTTCACACGCGTAATTGCTTTTACTACAAAGGCTAAGCACAGTGTTTAGCGTAATAATAAAAAAAATCGCAATTGGAAATTTTCAGCTTTTCCATACAACTTTCTTCGCTTTCTCGCCTCCTTGCGCTGCTGCTATAGCTGTCTTTACTTTTTCTGCTTTTTCTTCACACTTCTTGCTACTACACAGCGTTGGCTCGAGCGCAGCAAAAAGCACTTCGACACACACACACGGACCCATAAACACTAACACTCCCAGCACTCTCTGCTGCTAAACCGTTATAGCCATTCAAGCGTTCGACAGTTGCTTTTTGCTAAACTAAAAACAGCTCTGGCTTAATGCTGATGTCTTGCTCAGCTCGACGCGTAACTGCAACTGGCCAGTGGTGAGCGAGCGCCAATGCGCCAGAGCAAGCAGTCGTGGCAACATATTAAGTTGGCTACATTGAATCGTGGTAGAAACTAAGCGTACCCACGCACTCTCCGCCCCTTTCGTCATCACAAACACACTAACTAAGCTGCAAGCATTACCGCTTGGTACTCTCTCATACTCGCTCTCTGCACTTGCGCAGCCATAAGGACACGCTGCAAGCACCAGAAGAGTCACTGATTCACTGAGCGCCCTCGTACTTGGTCGTCTTCACGCTTTGCATTGACATTTCCGTGAAGTGGCTTCACGTCAAAGTCGCGCAATGTTGTTTTTGCAGCAGCTACTGTTGACCGCCTCAAGCGTATGCTGTTGTTGATGTTGTTGTTGCGTGGCGCGTATGTATGCGTGTTGTTTGTTGCACTTAGTAGCAGGAATTCCCTCAATCAATTCACACACACTTATATGTGAGGTCCGTGCCACCCTCATGCAACCCCTGCCACACGACTGTATTTTCATGAACAGCCCTCAAGTGTGCGAGCGCAACGTAAGCATACGTCACCACCGCGAGCTGCGACGCTCTCGTGCGCTCACAATGCTAAATATAGCAGTTTCAGAAAGGTGCAGTGGCAAAAACCAATTCATTGATGAGTATCGCAGAGCTGAGCAGTTTTGTTAAATGAGAAAGAGAGAGAGAGAGAGAGAGAGAGAGAGTATATTAAAAGCAGAATGGCAAATATTGTTGATTAAATGTAATACGAATTAATTCAAAAAAAAAATTTTGGTAAACAAAATCACAAAATTTAGTACTAAAAATTCTGTATTGTATGTACAAAGTGTCTCTGATACGAAGTATAATTTTAAAAGTGTTTTAAATACTGTCGGAGTGCAAAAAATAAAATATATACTTACGGTATTAGAAATAAATAAGACAATTACAAAAAAATGTATCAGTACTAAAAAAACTAAGCAAGTACTAAACTATACTTTATTATGGAAAACAACAGCAAAATGTTTAAAAATATTGAATACCAAAATGTATAGGGAGTACTAAAATAAAATTTATATATTTACTAAAAATAAAATTAAATGAGTTCTAAAAATTGAGCAAGTGGAAAAAATACTGAGTACTAAAAATATATATTTATATGAGTACTTAGAATTGAGCAAGTACTAAAAATAAAATTATTTGAGTACTAAAAATATTTTTATATGAGTACTTAAAATCGAGCAAGTACTAAAAAAAAAGCGGTACTTATAATATGAAAATTAAGAAAAAGTTTCTATAAACTACTAAAACTAATTTAGTACTAATAATGTGAAAAAGCGTTTTAAAAAATATGTGAGTACTAAAAAAAACTGATTTCTAAATTTAATACTGAGGATATAAAAGTACCAAAAATTTCAAAGCTATGTAGAAGGTTTAAAGCGAATTTGAAGATAATATTTTGTTACTAAATTGTTCTGAACGTTGAAGTAAAATTAGCACTTGAATGATACGAAAATTTAATATTATATTATACTCAATGCAAAGTTATGACAAATAATATACTATTGAAACGCGATATAAAAAACTTAGACTTTCGAATGTGTAGGAAACTAGCGGATAGTACTAAAAATCGTTAGAATATAATTTAAAATAGCAGTTAGTACTAAAAATTTGTGGGATTTGTAAATATTAACCCCTTTAAACTAACGTAACATAAATGTTAAACAATAATATATAAATTTTCACAAATATAAACATTAAATAATATTATAATATATCATAATATAAATTATTTGTTAAAAAGTACTAAAAAATTATCAATCAAGAATAATACTACCACCCAATAATTTTCGGATCATAAACTGAGAATAAGAGCAATATAATAATGCTGCATGGGCAGCATAAATTGCCTATTTGATTTAGCTGAGCGACTTATTGCTGACATATGCATTGGCGTTATAAATTATTAGAATTTCACTTCAAAACTATCATTGTAAAAAGAGGAAGATGATGGTACATCGTTGAACAATATTCTCATAACATTCTTTCTCCAGTTTTTCTTTTCGCTAACAGGCTTAAACCAGTAGCATCCTCTACAACATCTATGACATATTACTGGTCTCAGATTCCTCGGTTTTCAATAGCCATTTTCCTCTACGCTATTCGTTATATATAAGTCATGCTCAATTGTCAAGAAGAGTTTAGATACATTCGAAAACCATGAAATAGCTATTCAAGGTTATAAATTGGTAGGCAACTCATTAAATTGGTATATTTGCTCAGTTTTCCATCTCAATACGATTATGCCAGTCTTTTATTTTTATGGCAGTTGATTGTTCGATTGGCCATCGTGCAAATTTAGTCAAATATTCAAATATTAATAATATCTAGGCCCAGAGGTTTTTTTGTTACCGGGGTTTTTTTTTTTTTTTTTTGAATAGCTGACCTAAAGGTGAAATATTGGCAGAAAATTACTTGTAATAAGTTTGAATGGATAAGCCTATGAAATCGGCTGGAATAAAGGTAGAAGGATGGATGGACAAATCGCATGAGTAAAATTTCCTATGACTTCACGACCTGCACTGAATGCTTTGTGTCACTCAAATAATTGTGCTTTGTGATAAAGTAGACTCCCAAAACACTTCTGCAATATTTTCAACAATTCTGTTGGCATTATTTCATTGTAAACATCCATTGTAAATATAAAATTTCAAAGAAACACGTTGTTTGGTTTAATTTTTCCAAGTGAAAAAATCTGAAGAAAAACATTTCGTGTCGTAACAAAGACCAGTTCGAGTCAAGTCCAGTTCGAGTCAAATTTGATCAGATAATATGTTGTAGAAAAGCGATGCTCTCTAAGCTATAACTCTTTTAAAGGCGAGAGATAGTACATAAGCACGTTTTCTAAGTTCTGTAAGAGGCGACCGCCATTTAAATAGTAGCATGGTTCTCATGGGATTCAACTTAATTTGGGTTAAGTGAGTGTTGTAAAGCCTGCCACTTTCATTCTGTGGATTTCTATTCACAAAAAAATATTAGCAAAGTGACTAAGCATCCATAAATTTGTGCACTTTACTTTAATTTTGTCTTCAAAGCCATACTAACTAACATATGTATGCACTACATTTGCATAATCAACAACCTTTCCCTTTAACTTTAGCTGTGAATGTCAATTAAGTTTGCAAGAGTAAATAAATTTACAATTAAACTGCGCATCAAAAGTAATTTGCGCTTAAAGGGCGCTTTAAAAGCAAACAATAAACAAAGCCTCTACACACACACACAAACACACATAACCCACGTGGCATTACCACAGCCTTCCCCCCACCACGCTTGTCGACGCTGCTAAATTGCCAAAGCATGGACTTGTGGCGGCGACAATTACCGAAAAAAGCCTTGACTTGTGCTTAGCGCTGTCGCCTTACGCCGAAAGATATTTATTACATTTGCACGCCGGTGTAACGGGTCAGACTTCCTCATGTGTTACCTCAATGGCAGTTGTGCCATTTTTATTGTCACCTGCTGGTGCTGCTGCTGACGACAACAACAAACACAGGCAGACACACAAACCTAAATATTGCATGAGCGTTAACGGTACAATACATTTGATATGTATGTATGTTTGCATGTGTGCTGGTAGTGAAAATGAAATCAACAACAACAACAATCGACAGCAAAGAACTATTCATATTCACTGTTGTTGTTATTTGTGGTTTCGGTTTGTGTGACAAATAGTGGAAAACCGCAAAAGGTGACAATGTTTGCATTGTGTGCGTGCGTGTATGTAAAGCAAACGAATATATTTGTTTACAAGTAGTAAGCATTTTGGTGACAGTGCCTTACTTTAAGCTTTCGGTTAGTAGAATTTCCTCTTTGCCGCTCAGTCTTACACAAAGGGTCCAAATGTCGACAAAAACATACATATATGAATAATGGTGTGTGTGTGTGTCTTTACTGCTGCTCGTCAAAGGCAAAAGCATAATTAGTTGCCTGACAGTGCATTAATGAATGAATGCAGTTACAATCAGCAAAGAGAAGAAATAACTAAAAAATATTGTAAGCAATGTATCAGCTAGCACTAGTCCTGTAACTAACTCATGTGAGACTACTCATCAAATTTTTCTCATGATTTGAAATTAATTTACATTGAGCAGTAATAGCGGTTTAATAAAGTTAAAGAAATACATTTTTCACATATCACTAGTCCTGTAACTAGTTCATTAGTATTAGTTACAACATTTTCCTAATGATATGAAATTAACTTACATTAACCAAACACAGTAAGATAACAAAGATTTAAAAGTATATTTTTCATCCATCACTAGTACAGTAGCTAGTTCATTAGTAACTAGTCAAACAATTTTTCTCAGGATTCACTTTAACCAGATAAGTGAATTAATATATATAAAGAAGCATATTTTTCACTCACCACTAGTGCTGTAACTAGTTTATAAGTAACTAGTCACACAATTTTTTTACTAATAAAAATAATTTTAGATTATATTTATTATTATTTCTTACAGTGAAAACTCAGGAATGTATAAAAAATATAATTTTATTAAAGCAACTGTCAGTTGTTCATAGTGATCTTACGGTATTTTCAACTCGTTGGGTGAAAAGCATTTTATTCTGCTTTATAAGAACCATATTAGATTTTGTAACTCTTTAATTTATTTTGGTTAAATTTTTATGAAAATATACGCACTGTGCTCCAAATATCAATAGTAGTCAGAATATAATATACTTGTATATAACAATATAATAATGTTGTTCTCAATTTGTTCGAGCCTTCATTTATTCTTACATCTTGAGCGCTTCTTTAGGTAAATTAGCTACGAAGTCTGTAAAACCTAGAATGAAGTGTGGAAGACTCTATAAGATATATATATAAATGATCGGCATGTCGAGCTGAGTCGATTTAGACATGTCTGTCTGTCGGTGCATACGCGAACTAATCACTCATTTTCTGAAAAAATTATCTCAAATTTTGCACATCCTCCCCAAGAAGCTGCTTATTTGTCAGAACCGCCGATATCGGACCACTACAGCATATAGCTGCCACACAAACTGAACGATCGGAAAAATCTTTGCAAGCGTCTG